CGGCCGGCTCCGGGGCCGCAGCGGCCTGTTCCCCGCCAACTACACCACGAAGCTCTGAGCGCCATCGGGCCCGGCGCCATGGGGCACGCCGGGCGCCATCGGGGGCCGGGCGCCATTGGTCTGGGCTCTGGGCGCCATCAGGCCAGGTGCCATGGAGCCTGGTACCATATGCCCGGGCTTTGGGCACCATCGGACTGGGCTTTAGGCCCCGGGCGCCATCAGGCCTTATACCATCAGACGCCATCGAGCCGGGCGCTATTGGGCCCCGGCCGCCATCGGCCAGGTGCCATAGGGCCGGGCGCCATCGGGCCCGCTCTGGGCCCTGGGCGCCATCGAAGGGGGCCCTGGATGCCGGGCGCCATCAGGCCTGATACCATCGGACGCTTGGCCAGGCCCCATGGGGCCGTGGCCCTGGGCCCAAGCGCCATTGGAGGGGGCCCTGGATGTTGGTCGCCATCAGGCCCGATGGCGCCCAACCCCATGGCGCCATCAGGCCCGATACCATCGGACGCCATCGGCCAGGCGCCATCGGACTGGACTCTTTGCGCCATCGGGCAAGGCCCCGGATGCCATCAGGTTCAGGGCTCTGGGCGCCATCGGACGGGGCACGATTGGGCCGATGGCGCCCAGGGCCCCAAGCGCCATTGTGCCGGGCGCCATCGGGCCGGCTCTGGGCGCCATCAGGGATGCTCTGGGCCCCGGGCGCCATTGGGCCGGGCGCCATCGGACTGGACTCTTTGCGCCATCGGGAAAGGCCCCAGATGCCATCGGCCAGTCGCCATCGGGCCGGGCTCTGGGCCCGGACGCCATTGGGCCCCGGGCGCCATCGGGAAAGGCCCCAGATGCCATCGGCCAGTCGCCATTGGCCTGGGTGCCATCTGTCCGGGCGCCATCGGGCCCTGGGCCCGGCCCCCGGACGCCATGGGGTCTGGTATCATCAGGCCCCGGGCGCCATCGGGCTCCGGGCTCCGCCGAGGCCCCTGATGCTGCTGATGCTGCTGTTCGGGCTCCTCCAGCTTCTCTCCATGTTTCACTGAACGTTTCCTCTCAGAGCGGGACTGGACTTCCCCGACTCATCCGGGTTTTTACGGGAAAGCCAGCACTCTGGTCCGAATTCCCGACTTGGATTTAATATTTTTAGCAACAGTTTGAATCTGCTGATGGACTTCAGGGAAATTCACCCCAAGAAAAGTCGCTTCTGTTTGTGTTTGTGTGCCTTTTGTTGTTTTTTACAACATTTTCTTATGAAATGGCTTAAGGGCAAACCAGCTGTTTAAATGTTTTAAAATGAGTCCATTTAAATCTTATACAGTTCCCTGACCTCATGAAAGAAAGGGAAATACAAAAATCAAATAACATCTGTTGGAAAATGAACAAATCCCCCTTTTAACCCATTTGAAAGGTTAATCTAAAGCCTGAGCACATGATGAGCTCCCCCTCATGTTTTAAATAATCAAACATGTCTGTAGGTGTGATTTATTTAGGTTATAATATCGGTCTTAACTTCCATCCTCTCATCTTTTGGTCTCTAGTGTCTCCTGAGCATTTTCTTTTCTGGCTGAGACACGTACTTTATCGCCACCTACTGGACTGGAGTTTATGCATCATGTATATTTAAGTGAATTAAGTCTAATTAAATATTAAAAATATCACCTATACATGGTTAAAAACTTTCCTCTCTAAAATCAATGCTTCTGGACTAAGATTTCCACACTGTTTCTGTATTTTGTCTCGGTTTGTCTTTTTTTTCCTCTGAGGATAATTTATCTAAACAGAAGACCATGGTTCTTATTTTAAAACGGGTTTAAGGTAGGTGCTTTTTCTTTTCCACATGATCTTCTGTGTTTTTTCTCAAATAAAAGCTGTATTTTACAAAGTTTAACCACATTTTTTTATAGTCAACATAAATCCAAACAAAAGTCTGGGGTTTTTGCTGGTCAAAGTGCACTTTGAGCTTTTTTTAATTGATCTCTCTCCTTTCACACCAAAGTCTAACGTTTATTTCCCTTAATAAAAAAAGTTATGTTTTTCAAGTATCATGTGTTTTTTTTAACTTTATCAATTAAATAATCTGCACTACTTCTTGATGTTTTCATTCTTTGAAGAGTATCTGTTTCAGAAAGGACTTCTTTTTCCCTCTAGTGAAGTTTTTCTCGTGTTTTACCTCCACTTTTTCTTACATAAGGACATTTACTACTCATTTAATGCTGGGTATTGTATCAGGACATCCAGTTGGAATTGGGAACCCATTTCTGTCCTGATGCAGGTAGTTTTTTTATTGTGAAAGCTTTCCAACTGGAAGATGTCAACACTGTGTGGCGCTTTGTGGACTCTGGTGGCTCCGCCCCCACCTGTCAAACCAAATAACCTGTTGGATCCGGTAACTGGCTCCGCCCACCTGAGTTCCGCCCCCACCTCTCGGAGAAGGTAACTGGCCCCGCCCCCACCTGTCAGAGCAGGAAATGGCCCCGCCCCCACCTGTCAGAGCAGGAAATGGCCCCGCCCCCACCTGTTGGAGTAGGTAACTGGCCCCGCCCCCACCTGTCAGACCAAATTACTGGATCCTCCCCCACCTCTCGGAGCAAATAACCGGCTCCGCCCCCACCTGTTTGATCCGGTAACCGGCTCCGCCCCCACCTGTTGGATCAGGTAATGACTCCGCCCCCACCTGTGTGAGCAGGTAACGGCTCTCCTGCGCGCGGCACTCTGAGCAGCAGCAGCAGCGGCGCGCGGCCATGGCGGAGTCCCAGCTCGCGTGCATGGACGACGAGCACGTGAACGAGAAGGTGCCGGAGTCGCGCGCGGACTTCTACTACAGCGAGGAGCAGCGCGCGGCCCTGGAGCAGCTGCTGCGGCACGGGGACGCGGCCTTCCGCGCGCGCCTGCACGAGGACAACGCCAAGGACTTCCTGTGCGCGCGCGAGGTGCGAGCCCTCCGGGACGCGCTCCGGGAGTACGACCCGGACAGGGACTCGGACCCCGGGGGGGAGCGGGTGGGGGGGGGGCCCGGGGGGGGGGGGGGGGGCAGCGCGGACTCCGGGGTCCACTCCACCTACTGGCCCCAGATGTCCGACACCGAGGTGCCCGCGCTGGACATCGGGTGGCCGGGCAGCAGCGGGGTCTATAAAGGGGTCACGCGCGTGTCCGTGCACACGCACCCGCCCAAAGAGCCCGGGCCGCACATCAAGGAGGTGGTGAGGAGGCTCATCCAGGGCTCCAGCAAGGTAAGGACGGCCGGGTATTTGGATCAATTTACGCAGGAGGAAAAAAAAAAGTCAAGTCAAGTCAAACTTTATTTATATAGCACATTTAAAATAACCAAGGTTGCCAAAGTGCTGCACATAAAAAGCATGTATATGTGATTTTAATGTAAAAATGAATTTGGATCAATTTACGCAGGGGGAAAAAAAAGGCTCCTCTCCACTGAGAGGGACTCTCCTGTTTCCTGACATCGTTTAGGAATAAAACGATGTCAAAACAAAACTGAAAATTACTTTTTTTTGGTTTGAATTCCTTATTTGGCCTTTCAACAAAATATGTAAAAAGAAAAAACAGAAATACATTTTGTATATTAATAATTTATTACTATGCAATAAGTCAAGATTCTTCTGCCCCCTGTTATCAAATGTATCTGATTGTGTACAATAGGATTTTACAATAGGATTTTTTCAATAGTTTTTACCATGTGCAAAAGGTGTCAGACGCAAAACATTTCAGAAACCGTACGTATCAGATATGATACATTTGGCATTACAGGGTTAAAAGTTGTGGGTTTCCTTGTTCTCCTCATATTTTTGTGTCCTTCTGGAAATTGATGGATGAGAATGAGAGTCTATAAATGAGAAAACAAAGCCGATTAGGTTGGTTAAAAAGCAACAAAGGGATGATTTCTGACCTATTCGACTGTTGTTTTACAGCCTTTTGTGTAAAACACCTCCTGCAAACAAGTTGTGTTTGCTTAGTTCTGTTATGAGGTAAATCTGCCATAGTGCACGTTTTAATAACCTTTTAAACCTAAATTGTGGCTGTTTCTGGCCTTTCTGTGGTGAAATCCGTCCTCATTGTGTGGCAGATTAAGGCCGGTCGGGGTTAGTTTCTGGGTCAGTTTCTGGTCTGGAAGTCCCTGACCTACTGGCCCACAGCTGGAATAATAAACTGAGAATTACAGCCTGTCACACCTGGGGGAAATGTTGGTGTTTTTGGTCTTGTCTCCATGTTGTCTTGTCATTTCCTGTTTTATTTTGAAAGATGCATCCCCTTGTTTCCGGTCACTTGCACTTCCAGTTGTGTTCCCAGTCTGATTGTCTCCTTGATTACCTATTGTCTGCACCTGGGGATCCCTTCCCTCATGTGTTTAAAAACACCAACATTTCCCCCAGGTGTGACACAGCCAAGGGTTGGCTGCAGGTGGTCATGTGACCGTGGAAGAGACAAAGATCAGACCACTCTGAGCAGAAGCTGAACGTGTCCTGACTGCATGAATTATGAATGAATGCAGTTTTAAGGGGGTCTGGATCCCACTCAGGGGGTGAGTTGCCGTAACTAGTGTGGTGAAAACACACTTTTGGGTCGTTTTTCCAGCCCGAACCAGCCAGGATGTCTCTGTTTGTTCAGCTGAAATGACTCAGCTCGACAGCCGTTTGAGTGAAGCAAAGCAGACACATTTAGTGGCTTTTTCTGGACTCATTCTGACTATTTTTCAGTCTTTCTTAATGAAAACAAACAGACATCCAGTTGAGTGTTTTTAGAAGGCAGGTGAAACGCTCTTTAAAATAAACCGACATTTAACAGAGTCTTTCAGCATGATTGATCAATTCCTCAACAGTTTAATTACCCAAACAGCACCACTAAGAAAGGAAATTAATACACAAAAAGCTCTTTTATGATCCGCTTTGGTCTAATAATCACAATCCGTCGTCATACACTCTAATTCACAAAGAAAGTTTTCAGGAAACCTTTTGTCGGGGTCCACAAATTCTAGTTTCTGCTAATCATCTGAACCTTTCAGGCTTCTGTCACATGATTCCCCCTGATAAAGTCTAATTTAACTTCTCCCTGATGGGTCTTTGGTTCGGTTTGGGTGGTGGAGACCCCCTGGAGGGGAAGAGATCCGGACTATGAGTATGAGTAAAGTATTTCCATCTTTTTGAGAGTTGCGCAACTATCGTCCTTTAGCTTGACATACAGTTAGCACGCCCACCTGGCCTTCGTAAAGGTTATGGGCCTGTTGGCACCCGAGCTACCGAAACCAGTTCCAGGAAAGCTGGAGTAGCGTTGGATCACTGGCAGAGCAAATATGCTTAAGCTGATCAGCAGGGCACCGGCCGGGTGCAGGAAGCCCGTCTGTTGACACGGAAAAGAAACGGAGAGGGCCGATATTTTACATTCAGCCTGTTTGAGGATAGAGAGAACCCGTTCTAAGTATCAGTAAAGTTAGAGGTGAGACAAAGGGTTAGCAACACGTGTCTGAGCAGAGCTGATCATAACCTGCTACTTTATGATTATACGGCCCATACGGAGGCTCGCTTTATCTTTTTGACCCTGAATTGCTAAATACAAGTGAAAGTTTCTAGTCAACTTGTTGTATTTCAAAGGTATTTGATGTCATTTAGAAACATAACAGCACACAAAAAGTCAGCCATTTCCCATAAAAGCCTGTTCCATCTCTAAATTTCTTTGTATTTACCGTTAAAAGTGTCCTCAGAGGCTGAGAAATCCAAGAAAAATAAACTTTTTTTCTTTAGATAAGGAAATGTTAGATAGGTCATGATGGCTTAAATGAAAAATCATGAGTGATATCTTTGATTTGAAGCTCAGAAAAGCCAAATTGGGAAGCACCGACATGTAAATCCTTCGTTTTTTTTACATTTAAAGGAGATACAGCTGAAAATAAACTCGTCGTATATAAGTGCTCATAACTCTCCAGATGTTTGTTACACTTTAGGTATTCATTTGAGTGAGCAGAGGTCTGAAGAACGGCTTTTAAGTGGAGCTTTATCTCCACAGAGCTTTCTGTAAAGGGCAGAAAACAGGGGAGGGTTAATCCGGCAGGTGGGGGCAATAAAGCCGACATTTAGACAAAAGTCATGTGCGTGTTTTAACAAGCTGACTCATCGGATGGAGACGGCTGCTGTAAATGTCAGCTCCTCACCCCACAAACCCACTTCCACCGCGTCCCGATTGGCCGACGGCTCCCAGGTGAGCGGGCGAAGGGCGAGGCCTGTGATTGGTCGGCTGCAGCCCGGAGAGTCATTCAAACTTGGAGGAAGCTAAACTCCTGCTTTTCCGGCTAAATTGAACCTGTTTGCTGGAGCAGACTCGGGACCCTGACAGCCTAATTAACCAGTCAAAAGCTTGGGTTTCTCCCCTTGAGGGGGAGTAAATCACCTGCCTCTGAAACACGGCCTGAAACATGAAAACATCCTTACTCATCCTTATATAACGTGTAAAGTCATCCCAGAGGCTTGGGCGGAACACTGGGAAAAACAGGAGTCTGATTATGTCTCCTTATGTCTAATAACTGGACCCCAATGCACATATTTGTACTTTTAGAGGCCCTGAAAGATACATTTATGTTTCAGAGTAGTAAATGGACAAATTCCAGGCACCCATCAGCTGGAGATTTGAGGGGGACCCCCCCAGAGATGAGTCATTGGACCCCTAAAGGTCCAGTTTAGGGTTTTGATATTTTTCTGAGAGTGTATTTCCTTAACAGTTTCAACATTTCAAACAAAGACTTGGTTTGGTGTTAAACAGCTCTGGTTTTCTAGGTCATTTGGCTTTCATTGTTCCTCCCTTTCCTCCCTCTTTTTCTTGAATGTGGTTTTAAGTTTGACCGGCAGATCGGTTCAGATAAGTCTTGTTTTTCTCTAAAGCAGAACTCTGTTTCCACCACATGGACTTAGAACCCAAGATGTTTCGGTTTCAAAAGGACCTGTTTATATATCTGAGCCTTTGAGTTAGAGCCCTGAAGGCATCAGACCAGATGAGTCCAGATGTTCTCAGAAATGAGGCTTTAAAATCATCTAACGCTTCCTGTCTTTGTGTGTTTTTAAGTTGTGTTTTTATTGAATTTTGTAGCAGTTTTTCATGGCTGGCTGAGCCTGTAAAGCATTTATTTTAAATCCTCCCAGTGAACGGCGTCATTTCATCAAACAGCATCAGAAATCTGAGGAGTTTCTACTTGTTCTGAGCTGTCCGACAGTGAAGCCAGAGGCAAACGCAGCCACGAACAACCGAAGCTTTTATATCTCTTTGCTTTCAAAGGAAACAAGACTGAGCTGAGCGTCTTAATATCCAGTTTTTAGAGATTTTTAAAATCTGTTCAACAGCAACCTGCTGATTTGACTGTTTTTCATGTTTTCTTATGTCTTTTGTTATAAAACATCCCAAAAATCCAGATTAAAATGTGCTCAGTGCTTTCGTGGTATTTTTAAAAAGTCATTTTATTTGCATTTCTTCTGTTCTTTTGCTTAAACTCTTTGGTTGTTTTTGTCCTTTTTAAGATTTCGTCTTGTCCTTTTTGGTTGGATGCTGTTTTCTGTGGCAGCCATTTCTAATTTCCCCTCATTTAGCGACACAGTACAGTAGTTCTTGTCTTTTGTCTCCTTAAGAAAGTCACATTTCTTCTAATTTGATCCCATTGACAAGAAAACATGAAAATCAACAAGTGAAAGTCAGTGTCTATCTGCTGTTTTTTGCGTCTGATTGTGACTTACACGAAGACTTAGCAGCTGTAAACTGTGTGGCTTTAGTTCCACGTGCACTTTATGACCTGGAAAAGCCATAAAGGAAGACGTGGTTGGGAGTTTTAACTACTGAAATCTGTCCACAGTAAGATAAGCTCCCATGCAGCAGCAGGTTGTTTGATGACACGCACCTCTAAGCTGCTGTCTGCCTGAACTTGTCTGGGCTCAGACCCAAACTCAGCCGAGCCGGATTAAGATTTAAAATTCCTGTTATGAACACCAAAAACCCCAGAGTCCAAACACACAACACGGGTCCCAGAACCTGGGCTCCTCGTGCTGCGTCCAGGTCCCGAAGGCAGGCATATCTAAACCATTAGTGGAGAATGGGAACCGTACCCGACGCTGGCCCGGGTCCAGAACGTCCGGGAACTCCTCGGAAAAAGCCTCGAGGCCTTTTCCGCTTCAGGAACCGTCGGGTTTAAAAGTCCCGGCCGGCTGGTTCCTCGGAGCCACCGGGAGAACCGGCAGGGGCAGTTTGGAGAGCGTTCATCCCGTTAGCGATGGCATCTGATGCCTCACGGTCACAACATTGTGTTAGTTAGAGAAAAAGGTGTCGAAACACACCTGGATTAATGGTCCAATTATATCCATGCAGGGAAGTTCTTTATGTTTAAAGTCTAGGTTGACTGGACTCCAAACTGCCCTTAGTGTAAGTGTGTGGTGTTGTTGGTTGTGTGTCTCTGTGTGTCCCTGTGATGGACTGGGTGACCCCGCCTCTCCCCATTGGCTACTGGGATAGGCTCCAGTCCCCCCCGACCCCATTAGGGAATAAAGCTAATGGATGGATGGATGGATATTTAAAGTCCGTAACCATTATTTTCATTATGATTGATTCCCCTAAAATACTAAACAGAATAAAAAAAGAGAGAATACATCTGATGATTGTGTTTCTACCTTTTTTGTGAGAATAATAATAAGTAAAAATCCAAAAATATTCCAATAACACTGGTTTATACCTATTTTAAGACTGTTTTGTGATATTGTGGTAAATATCAACTCGTCATGTACGTTTTTACGATCATTCCCATTAAAAGTGAGAAAAGTAAAGAACATTAAGCGTTGTGATACAAACCTGGTGTTTTATCCGACATTTGAAAAATGTGAAAAACCAGAGTGAGTTTGTTGCTCAGCGACGGAACAGGTTCAGTCTTCAATGACGTAAAACGGCTTGAATTCAGTTTCAGTTTGAGCAAAGTTGAAATGATTAGAATCTGAAGTTTGCAAACCTAAAACTGACGACTAGTCGCCCTGTAAACCGAGTCTGTAACTGAGGGTTCATGGGTTAAATAGGACGGATTTCTGAGCCGGTTAAACTGTATTGGTGATCAAATCTGAGTTTCTTTAGTGTCTGGTCTTCAATCAGCCCAAAAAATCTCACGTCACCCCTCTGTTCATTGAACTCCACTGGTTACCTCTGGCTGCCCGTATCAAATTCAAGTCCCTGATGCTAGCCTACAAAGTGCTTAAGGGTACGGCTCCCATCTACTTGAATCCTTTTGCAAAGGCTTACGTCACAACTCCATCACTCCGGTCATCAATGGACTCTGGTCTAGCTCCTATCCTAACCCTAACCCTAACCCTAACCCTAACCCTAACCATCCAGACTGTCTGCATGTGTCGTTCCAAGATGTTGGAACCACCTACCAAGCTACCAGAACAGCAGAGTCCCTGTCTGTCTTCAGAAACTGTTGAAGACCCCCCTCTTCAAAGAGCATCTCCTATCCTAACCCTAACCCGTACCTCTACCCCCCCACAGCTCCTATCCTAACCCTAACCCGTACCTCTACCCCCCACAGCTCCTATCCTAACCCTAACC